CAAGTGAAAAGGGAGACAAAGCATGGTAAAGACTGCTTTATTGGTGGCAGTTAGTACACATCAATAAATATTGATCCCCTAAGAAGAGCTCAGTTACTCATCAGATTCCTGGTCCGTCGAGCGCTGAATGCAACTGAACCATGGGAAGGCTGGGATGATGAAGTCAGTTCTGCTTCTTGGGAAATGAAGCCATAGCTAACTGATAGATGGCGTACACTGTTCCTGAGAAACACAGGAAAACTTACTTATTAGGGATTCTGGCATTTCAGTACATACACTTCATATTTCAGCTCAAAGGTTAAAGGCAAAGTTGCTGTTAAGACAAGCTCGGAGGTAGGGTGTTTTGTTCTAGTGCCTAAGTTCCTCGGTTTGATTTCTAGTGAGAACACACAACACACATGACCCTTAATCAAACATAAAAGTGTTTTGACAGATAATAAAATTAAAAAAAAAAATCAATCTAGTTTTATTACTTCATTTCTATTTTAAAAGGTAGACCTGCCACGATACCCTTCAACATAATGAATGCAAACTTTTTTAAAGGTAGGGAGGGTAGTGTGAATGTTTGGGGAGAAGGGACTGAGAACCTCAAGTGACACAGAGCTACCTCTATCAGAAAGTGAACCACAACCTGCCGAGTCAAAATGCTCTTGGGTAGTATATTCTAACTGCCCTCTTGACTGCTTACTCTGAGGTGCTGTGAGATGGCATAGACAGACTGCCTGCAATAAATACAGCCACAGCAAAAGCAAGGAAGGTGTCCCTGCTGCTCCTGCCCTGTAAACTTCAATGTCTTACCACCAAGTGTCAGAGCCATTGTGAGTCTGTAGAGGAGAGCATCAGATGCCCCGCCTTTCAGATGCACTGGGATTCCATTATCCTCCTTTTGTGTTTTCTATTTTTCCTGGGGAAAAAAAAAAAAAAAAAAAAAAAAAAAAAGATACATGTTACTTATTTCCAGTTAAGAACAGAATATTAATTATTCATATAAAATCCAACAGCTACTGACACTCCCAGAATTTAAATAATTTAAGAGGCTTATAATTTTTATTCATTCTCTACTACTTTAAAATTACAAACATTTAAAAGACAGCATCCTTTTAAGCTAACGTAAGACCTAAAATGAGATATTCTGAGGACTATACAAACTTCAGAGCAGGGACATTTACCCCTTAAATTCAACAATGTAAATATAAGGCCTGTTGATCACTAGGAACATCCTCCCCCGCTTATAAAAGGAGGCAAGAGGCTTCGGCTTGCAACACTAGTTTATATCCACTTCAGAATTTATTTTTATGAAACATACATTAATACTTTTACCACTTTAAATTTTACTTAGGAAAAGTTATAAATCACAATAAAACAAAAGTCATTCACAATCTAATTACTGATAAAGGTTAACTGCTCTATTCCACTGGGCCTCTCCCCAAGACATACCAACTATTAACAGTATGGTACATATCACCATTTTATTTATCAATTATCCTAAGTTATGTACACTTCATATATAGAATGGCTTATGCTATATAATGATGTTATATACTATTTTCTTTTTGGGGGGTTTTTCAAGACAGGGTTTCTGTGGCTTTGGAGGCTGTCCTAGAACTAGCTCCTGTAGACCAGGCTGGTCTCGAACTTACAGAGATCTGCCTGCCTCTGCCTCCTAAGTGCTGGGATTAAAGGCATGTGCCATCACCATCTGGCATTATATACTGTTTTCAAAAACAGTTTATTAGTCCATTTAAATATTTCTTCAATGGCTACATAATATTCTACCAACTGAAAAAAAATTCCAATCCTTTAGTAACTTCTGGGTTGGGTTCTTTAAAATCTTTTATTTATTTTCTTATATATATGCATGTATTCTAAAGTGTGTTAAAGAAGGTTTCCTAGATGACAGGGTATATGATCAGTCTATAATATTTCAACTACTAGATAAACTTCTGTCTCTAATATACTCTTGCTTAGCTCATATGGAAATCCTGTGGATGGTACTATCTTTCTCCTATTTGCCTGACAAATACAATCTATTTTAAATCTTTCTATTTATAGCACAGGGAATGGGGTTGCCTCTCAATCTGTTTGCTTTAAGAAAACTTGGTTCCAAGAGCTGATATAGAAGCTATAGTTTTTCAGTTCTAAGAACAGTTACAGTCAGGGTAATGTAGCCTTAAATCTATAAAACTGAAAAAGCAATGACATGGTTACAACCATTTCTTGGTGACATTCATATGGTCAAGCTGGTGTATAAGTCTGTGTCCAGCCGCCTTCATGGCTTTGAAGGAATCACCACATGGCAATACTTCTGCTCCACCAGCAGATAGGGGTCTGCAGTGGTCCTCCATCTAGATCTCCAGAGAAATCATGTTCTGGCTCCATAAAAAGGTATAGTCCAAACCTCTACAGTTCCCCAGTCCACTAGCTGGAATGTGTTTAGGGCAAAGGCAACTGAATAGAGGGTTAGCAGTCAGTAGTACAATGCCTGCCACATTCCACAGGAGTCTTCCTTGCCCGTGGACAGCTATGGTGACTTGATCTGCATTTCTTACAGATGTCCAATGACATAATCATACCTGGAAAAACTTCCCATCTGTTCCTTCTCCTTACAGAGATAAATTGTATATTTTTAAGGCTTGATTTCTCTCCTCAGGCCTTTTGAAGTTTCCTTAGAAATCTTCCCCACCTAAGATTATTTACTATACTTTTTCTATACCCTGTAACATCTACTGAATTTCAGATATATATATTTGTTTCTGGGCCTTTTATTTCCTACTCCTATGCAATTATTTCCCAAAGAATGCCATTTCATCTTAAATTACACACACACACACACACACACAGAGAGAGACAGAGAGAGAGAGAGAGAGAGAGAGAGAGAGAGAGAGACCTATGCATTTTTCCACCTCCCCAAGCATTCTTGGATACAGCAAATCGACAGTTACCAAGAGTCCCATATGCTCCAGCTAATACAAAAGAGGCTCTAAAAAGCAGACCTCTGGATTTACTCCCTAAATCCACTTTCTGAGTTCTATTACAGATCACCTAAAATAGTTCAGTACCTGAAACAGCTTTTGTTTCTCTGGAACCTTGTTTTCAAAATGCCGTCGTGAAGTAGTGCTGATGGTCCTCTGGGTAACCTGACGGAGGGCCTGAGACAGAAAATCTAGTTAGTAAACAAGACTTAGAGCCTAAAGAAACCTTCTAAGGCAATTTCCAGACCTTCACACAGCAAAAGGACACCGAGTTAAACCATATCTAACTCATCAGTAATAAAGCCCAGGCTTTCTAGATGTTGTCTATCCTCTGCTCTGTGTTTCACACTATGAACTGCAGTCTCCAGAAGCCATGACCTATATAGCCTGTGCCTGAAATCAGTAGCATTTTATTTTTGTTGAACAAAGAACAATGATATACAGAAAAAATAAATGTAAAAAATAGACTACGAGGGCGTTGGTGGCGCACACCTTTAATCCCAGCACTAGGGAGGCAAAGGCAGGCAGATCTCTGAGTTTGAGACCAACCTGGTCTACAGAGTGAGTTCCAGGACCGCCCCCAAAGCCAAAGAAAAACCTTGTCTCAAAAAAAAAAAAAAAAAAAAAAAACCACAACAACAACAACAAAAACAAAACAAACAAACAAACAAAAAACTGCTTTCTTTGGGCTGGAGAGATGGCTCAGAGGTTAAGAGCACTGGCTGCTCTTCCAAAGGTCCTGAGTTCAATTCCCAGCATCCACATGATGACTCACAACCATCCAAAATGAGATCTGGTGCCCTCTTCTGGTCTGCAGGGACACATGCAGACAGAACACTGTATACATAATAAATAAATCTTTAAAAAAAGAAAAAAGACTACGTTTGTTCAAACATTTTCATTTAGTATTCACCTATGCTGAATACTTCACTGCAAAATAAACCAGCAAGATTTGTTATTGTTGTTTTTCAAGACAGGGTTTTCTCTGTGTCGCCCTGGCTGTCCTGGAACTCATTCTGTAAACCAGTCTGGCCTAGAACTCAGAGATCTGCCTGCCTCTGCCTCCTAAGTACTGGGATTAAGGACGTATGCCATCACCCCCCCCACACACTTTTTTTTTTTTTGAGGGAGAGGGGGCTACCCGAAAGATTCTTACTCAAAATTATTTTGCTGCGCAGGGCACACGCTAGGCAAGTACCCTTCACCAATTGGACTCCTAGCCGCCTAAGATAATTTTAATGGCGTGTTTAAGTCTGCTTTTATTTCAATCAGTAAACATGCATTCCACTATCTAAATGGTATTGCCAAGTTAGTAAAACTGTTAAATAATTACAAAAGAAAATCAAATCACATCTTTTTAATTTCTGGTAAAGTACTTCACAAGCTCAGTCAGGGGTGTTAGTGTTAAAAGGCAACTCAGAATCGCCATTACACTTCAGCCGTGAATACACATTAAATGCCAACCCAAATAGAATAATTTAGTTCTTTAGCTTACTTCTGGTGCATATAATAGCCATGAAAATTTATATCCTTTCAGTATGAAACAAAAACAAACGACAAACGCCACTTTCCCGCCTAACGTTTCCCCTCCCCGGAGCCTACATCAGAGATACAATCTTACCAATTATCACCAGTTAACCGTATTGACCAGGTAAGCAGTGTGGTCATGCTCTTCCCTCTACGTCGACCCAGCAACAACCAGGGGAGAGTTTCGGAAAGGTCAGGGGGAAAGGACGCGGCCAAGGTGACTCCCGCCGCTGTCTTCTGTCCCATTTCCAGTACGGGTTTCAGTCGGGGTCCCTGAGCCTCCGCCCGGACACCCCAGCACCAGCCAAACCCCAAAAGCTACTTACCAGCAGATTCCGCAACATCTTGGTTCAGTTGCTGCCCACCAACCGCGACTACTGAACGCCAAAAGTCGGAAACCACCGGGCCGGAAACGGAACTCCCTCCTGGCACTGCGCGTGCGTCCAGAAAGAGCGCTCGTTCCTGGAGTTGGGGGAGGGGGGGAGTTCGCGCTCCAGACCATAGAGACCGGAAGCTGAGCCAGAGCGGCTGCTCTCAACGGCTGCTTTATCCCGCCGGCCTTCCGGCCCATCAGTACCACCCGTCTGTGCGATTCTGGGTCGGCAGCCCGTCTCGGAGCCAGGGCTGGAAGAAAGCGAACGCCGCCTGCGACCGAGATGCGTGACGTCTGCAGCCCTTCACTCTTTGGTGAAGTCAGTGGGAGACCAGACTTTCCGGAAATTTGTCTTTTGAGAAAGCCTTTCTTTGAGCCATTGTTTACAGACTGAAAAAACAATGGATGTCAAAGCTACGTCGTGCAAGTTTAAAGATCTAAAAGCTCAACACGGATACTGTCCAGTTTGGGGTTTGTTTTCCACAGATGGAAGTTGGGAGTGTTAGTCGTCGTGCCGAGACCATACCGGAAAAGGCAGGGTTGCTATCCACAGGTATCTAGCACTTTCTCGCCCTAAACTCCACGTGCTGGAAGCTTTTTGTGTTCCTAGACTCTGGAATTGGCTGGCTTCCTTATGAGTCTGGGAAAATGCTGAAGAGAGGGAAGTATATTTTTAATTGAGGTTCAACACAAACATCGATTGTCTCTTGCTTTCTCCGACTGCACTCTGTTATTTAGGCTGTGTGCGCGCATTTTACTTATAGGCTGCAGCGTTTTGCATCAGCCCGGCTTAATCATTCCTTCTTACAACCGCCTTTATTCTCTCTGATCACCCTCATGTATGTACAAGTAAACACAATCTGCCCAGCACTACAACAAATATCTTTCCACCCTTTTGTAAACTTACAGCCATTTTAGGTAAAAGCAAATGATAAATGGGTTCGGCAATGGTGAGGGAATAAAAACTGGTAATACTTAGTCCTTTCAAATCAAATCCTAAGGTTTTTTTTTTCTTCCTAACCTATTGAAGGGCTCTAGCGGGCCCAAACATGCAAACAAGGCTCTGGCAGGCTTTGCCCTTCTCCCATTTCCTCCTACTACTTTTTATTTTCCCCATTGAGACAAGATTCTCTATGTAATGGACCTGGCTGACCTAGAACTTGATTTGTAGACCAGGCTGGCCTTGAACTCAGGTCCACCTGCCTCTGCCTCCCAGGTGCTGGGATTAAAGGCATGCGCCACTGGATTACATTCTTTTTTGGTTTTTTTGAGACAGGGTTTCTCTGCGTAGCTTTGGAGCCTATCCTGGCACTCACTCTGGAGACCAGCCTGGCCTGGAACTCACAGAGATCTGCCTGCCTCTGCCTCCCAAGTGCTGGGATTAAAGGCGTGTGCCACCAACGCCCGGCCTTGGATTACATTCTTAGGGCTAGCTGCCAGGGTCTATTCCCATATTTGGCCACTTCCTCCTTCTGAGGCAGACTACCTAGGTCCAACTATCAAAGTATTGAAGTCCAGCAATCAAAAGCTCCCTTTTGGCTCAACTAACGTGCCCAGTTAAAATTGAACACTTCATCCTAACATGAGTCTCCCCTTTTACTTTTATAAACTGCCATTTGCCTATGGGCCCCATCTGTCTCCTCTCTGTCCAAAGGCAGTCCTTTGTCTCTCCAGGACAAAAATACCTTTCCTCTTTCCTTTCTCCTCCCTCATTCTCTATCTTCTGTCTTTGCCTCTTATTCCCTGCTCTTTGTCCCACTGGGGCAAATGAATCTCCTTTGTGCTGAGAACTTGCTCTTGGGGTGTCTTGTGCCAATACCTGCCCTTTTACCTATTAATTTGCTCATTAACCTAGCACACTTGAATTTTTCTTCCTTATCAAGTTTATAAACACCCATTTCGACTGACTTATTTTCTACCACCTCTGAATGTAGCCACATCTTTGGGAGTAATTACCATCTATGCCAATAGTTGGGGTCTGGGGAGTTTTCTGTTTATTTTCTGTAGTTGGAATTTCTTAGTTTGTGCTGTTTTCTCTTGTTTTCACCACAGGCTATAAATTTCCCCAAGATAGACTCTTATCATTCCCTTAGCACTACTAAAGTAAAGGTAAATCCACTCACCAACAGTGAATGCATACTGTTTGACAAGCCTAGGAATACTGATTGGCCAAAAAGAACCAAGAGTTCACATTAAAGGGACCTACTGTCGATACAGATCTTCATAGCCTGTCCCTTAGGACAGTACAATTTTCTCTTTACTGGATCATTCCATCTACAAACACATTCCATCTTAAAAAGGAGAGCACACGTACAAAGTATTTACTATCCCATTCTCTCCAGAAAAACAGACTTCCTTAAACTGCATACCCTTTCTTTGGTCCTAAATACCCTCTCCCACTCCCCCCCCCCCCCTTTTTTTTTTTTTTTTTTTTTTTCTTTTTTGGTTTTTCGAGACAGGGTTTCTTTGTATTGTTTTTGGAGCCTATCCTGGAACTTTCTCTTGTAGACCAGGCTTGTCTCGAACTCACAGAGATCCACCTACCTCTGCCTTTGCCTCCCAAGAGCTGGGATTAAAGGTGTGCACCACCAACACCTGGCTTTTAAATCCCATTTGAGGCAAGCTTCTGCATTATCAACACAGCTGCTCAATTCCTTAGTGTACATTTTAATTTGGAAATAAATCATCAAGGAAAACACCAACACAAGTTTGAAACAAGGGTACTTTAGTGAGGCTTCCATGCACTCTCTGCTGAATCCTATTTCTCAACTGCTCCCTTTAGTTTTTGCTTTGCTGCTCATCCTTTCAACACCAAAATTTCAAAGTATCTTATCTTTCTCTAAATATGAACTGATATTTCCCTTAAACTCAAGAAATCCTTTATATGTCTAATGTAGATCCTCAATTATCTTATACTTTTTATTTTTTATTCTTAAACTTTCTCCCTGGAATTCCCCCAAACATTGTACTACCACACTCTACAATCGATTCTGTAGGTGCAACCGCAACATCTAATCTGACCATTTATAATCTGCAACACCACCACTGTGGGCCAAGCCAGCAACATCTCTTGCTTGGATTTCTCCAAAAGCTTTAATTTGTTTCCATCTTTCTCTTCTGTTACTATTGATTCCCAGCATCCAGATGGAATTTTAAAATGCTTAATATTTTTTCAGAAATAGTACCCTGCCCCCCACAAAATGTCATTAAACGTAAAAACAAAAACAAACAAAAACCAACTAACATTTTTGGCTTCCTTCCACAGCTTTGTCAGCTCCAGGGTTGTTTACTAGCTCCTTGTTCCTGCATTCTGGTGGGTTTTATTTGTTTTTGTTTTCTGAGACGGGGTTTCTCTAGGTAACAGTCCTGGCTGTCCTGGAATTCAGAGATGGCCTGCATTCTTTGTTTTGTTTTGTTTTTGGGGTTTTTTTTTGTTATGTTTTGGTTTTTCCCCCGGGGACAGGGGTTCACTGTGTAGCTTTGGCGCCTATCCTGGCACTCGCTCTGGAGACCAGGCTGGTCTCGCACTCAGAGATCCGCCTGCCTCTGCCTTTCGAGTGCTGGGATTAAAGGTGTGCGCCACCAACGCCGGGCCACGCCTGAATTCTTAACTGTCACTCTTTGGATAGAAAAATGTGCCTGAAACCAGGCAGTGGTGGCACACACAGGTAGAGAGAGGGGAACAGATAGTGTGGTTTGGCAAAAAGACAAATGAATGAACTTGTTCACAGCAGAAGGCTGGCTGCTATCATTTTGAAGGTGCCTTGGAGCCATTCAAAGCTTTCTAAGTGCAGGCTTAGAATACAAATTCCATTTTAAGATTATGCTAGCTGTAATTAAAGGCTGGAGAGGACCCAAGTTACTAGGGCCAGAGAGTCAGAAGGTTCTGTAATAACCCAAAAAAGGAAGGCTGAATTTCAGCAACAGCAGCAGCAGGATATAGATGAGTAGATACATAGGACAGCACATTAGAAACGGGTACCTTGAAAAAACCAGCAGTTTGTGATTTATTTAGGTTAAGCAGCTGAAAAGCTCAGAGTTTCTAGATTAATTCACAATAGAGTCATTCTATCCAGCAATCCATGGGGAGAAATGTAAAAGAAACTCCTTGGATAGGGAGTGTATGTGGCCCAGTAGAGTCTGGGCACAACCCCTATATCCATTCCACCTGCAACAGCAACAAAAGAAAATCCAGGTTTATATGGAATGATTAGTAGTTTTGTGTTATTAACAGACTAATTCAATATTAATCATTTTTCAAGAGAAATAGTAAATAATCTAGAGCTATCAATGAATACACATAAAGATCCACTGTAAAGATGGTAGTGAAAATGCTAATTAACTAGGTCAGGCTTGGTAGTTCACATCTTAGTCCTAACACTCAAGGGCGGGGGCAGGTAGAGTTCTGTGATTCTGAAGGCAGCCTGATGTCCTGATGTCCATGATCAAGGTCATCCAGGGCTACACAGTAAGTCACTATCTATAATAAATAAGGCATAAAAGTGCTTCTTTTGTTCCAGAAGTATGTGTAAGAGTCCAGAACACAATCTCTAAAACTCCCAATATTTTACATGGTGAGCATAACTAATATATACAAAGGAAACTAATGAAAATAAGTAGGGAGAAAATCAGGAGTTATTCACAAGCCAGATACTAAGGATGAAAAGGACAGGAACATGCCTGTAAAAAGTATCATGATGAAGGTAAATTGGTTTGGCTTGACAAACATGAATGGGAACAATTCATTGGGTACCTAGTGTCTTAGTTAGGGTTTCTATTGTTGTGATGAAACACCATGACCAAAGGCAGCTTGGAAAGGAAAGGGTTTAATTTGCTCACACTTCCACATCACAGTTCATTATCGAAGGAAGTCAAGTCAGAAACTCAAGGCAGGAACTTGGAGGCAGGATCTGATGCAGAAACAACAAAGGAGTGCAGCTTACTGGTTTGTTCCTCATGACTTGCTCAGTTTACTTATATGTTTCCAGGATCATTCACCTTCCTAGGAGTGGCACCACTCAAAAGATTGGTGTGAACTAACTTCACACCAATCACTAATTTAAAAATGTCCCACAGACTTATCTGATCTAGTGGGAGCACTCTTTCAATTGATGTTCTCTTCCCAAATGACTCTGGTTTGTGTCGAGTTGACATAAAACTGGCCAGCACAATTGACTCTTTGTGCTTGACACACAAACACATCACCATTAGGCCATAACCTTTCCTTTCTTGTTCATCCCCAAAATCTCACAGTAATATCAACATCAATATAAATACAATATAAAACATTTCAACATTTTGTTTTTCAAGACAAGGTTTCTCTATATACTTGTTTATTTTGGTTTTTTGAGTCAGGGTTTCTCTGTAGCTTTGGAGCCTATCCTGGCACTCGCTCTGTACACCTCGAACTCCGGGAGATCTGCCTGCCTCTACCTCCCAAGTGCTGGGACTAAAGGCGTGTGCCACCAATGCCCTGCCGGTTTCTCTGTTTAAACAGCCCTGGTTGTCCTGGAACTCAATTTGTAGACCAAACTGGCCTAAGCTCAGAGATCTGCCTGACCCTGCCTCCCAAATGATGGGATTAAAGGCATGCACCACCACATGAGGTTTAAAACAATCCAATATTAAAAAGTCCTACAGTCTTTAAAAATCCAAGCACAAAGTCCAAAGTCTCCTTAAAATATTCAAAACTTTCTAAAACTCCAAAGTCTCTTTAAAGTTCAAAGTATCTCAACTGTTGGACTCCTGTAAAATTAAAATCAAAATACTTTATTTCATGAGGGAATAACCAAGACAGTCACAATCAAATAAAAAAAATCCAATATCATGAACTTCAATGTTAGAATTCTGGGATTTGCAATTATCTTCTGGGCTCCAAAGGGTTTGGCAGTGACATTTCTCTGGCTCTGTCATACATAACAGATTATCTCCTAGAAGCCCAAGCAGCTCCACTCCATGGATGTTGCTGTGCTTGGTGGTCATTACATCATAGTGACAGCTCCAAAATATTGGGGTCTTCACTGCAACTGGATTGCACCTTTACCACTAGCCTCATCTGGGCACTTTTCAGGGACTCTGACCTTACTGCATGGCGCTACACCTAAACTTCTATCCATAACTCTGTCCGTCCTAGGGCTTCTACTTCAACTGAGGCTACACATTCACCAGTGCCCTCTTTCCAGTGTCCAGCCTTGGCTGCTCTTCATAACCCCTTTATGTCTTCAAGACCAGCACCACCTGGGAAACCCTTGCACATTACCAAGTTGGCTGCCAGAAGATGTAGATTTGGCCACCTCTGAACCACAGGTCTTATGAGCTAACCCCAAGGAGACGCTACTGCCTCTTGTCACCTCCTACCCTAGGGTCTGTGTCATCCTGGAACTTGCTATGTGAACCAGGTTGACCTCAAACTCACAGAGATCCTTCTGCCTCTGCTTCCTGAGTGCTTAAATTAAAAGTTGTGCCAGCAAGCCCAGCTACTGACCTCTTCTTAATTGCCACCTGTTTTACAACTCCAGATAACCAGCATGAACTATCCTAGTAAAGCTAAGGTTTTTATTTGGTGGTGCTGGTCACTTGTTAATCACAGCCATTCAGTTCCAGATGATCAGACACCACAAGCATCTTTAAGACTCTCAAACTTCTTCCTGAAATTTCACAAGCCAGGCCTTCATTGTCTGCACCACTCTTACTTCCAAGCTGACATACAACAGTCTACTAAGCTCTGAGTACTCAACAGTTTCTCTAGCCCAAAGTTCCAAAGTCCCCTCACAATGACCAGGTCTATTATAGGAATATCCCCACTACCTGGTACCAATTGTATCTTAAGAGTTTCTATTAATGTGATAAAACTCCATGACCAAAAGCAGCTTGGAGAAGAGTTTATTTCAGCTTACATTTATATATTACAGGCCATCACTGAGGGAAGCCAGGGGAGGAATTCAAACAGGGCAGGAATGTGGAGGCAGCAGCTGATGCAGAGGACACAGAGGAGTCATGTTGCTCATGACTTGCTCAGTTTGCTTTCTTATATATTCCCAAGACCACCTACCAGGTGTGCTAGGCCCTCCCCACATTAATCAATTAAGAAAATGCCACACTGGTAGGACCATTTTCTCAACTGATGTGCTATTTTCAAATAATTCTAGCTTGGGGTCAAGTTAACATAAAACTAGCCAGTTTTATACTTTGGTATTCTTTTTTCTACATGCTTTTCATTCGTCACTTCTTTTACTTCTCAAACGTCAAGTAGGTAATGAAATCCCAATTTTACAAATAGGTAAATGGTCTAGGAGATGAAGCAATCTAAAAATACAACTTGTAAGTGCTCAATAGCCTATGAATCCACGTTTAGACTTCACTGAATCTTTCCGGCCGGTGACAGTGAACAGAATGCAGTGCAATTTTGACATGAAAGGCTGACTGAAAATTGAAAATGAAAAAGCACTCTTTTACAAGCTTTGAGTGTAAAGCATGTAAGAGTAAGTTAATTTTCTTCATTACTAAGACAGCTGAGTTTCTCCTTCCCTCCTTCTGCAATAAAGCAAGACTAAAGAAAAAGGGCACAAGAAAAACTGACAGACATTAGTGTAGTTAATCAGAGAAGTGTAGTGTAGTTAATCAGAGAAGTTTCTTCAGACCGTGGTTGGTGGTTAACACAGAAACTCACAACTGACCAATGCAGAGAACAAATGTCAACAGAACATTCAGTCAAAACTGGGACATCTACATTACTCCTACAATACTCATCATAGAAGTCAGAGTGGGAAGACTAGAAAAGCCAGAGATTGGGAAGGACAAGAACAAAATGTACAAGGGTGCACACGCACCCAAGCATGAAGTACTAATATATACACACCAAAACATAGGACAGAGGACAACCATGCAGCCATCTGAAAGGGCCAGCATCTAAGATCAGATTCATTAAAAGTAGTGGAGAGAAAATTGCTTTTAATTGGAAACTGTGTATAGTCAAGCTATTAGTGAAATATGAAGGTTATAAAAGGATTTACATCATTTCTTTTTAATTAAAAATTGCATTTGTTTATTTCGTGTGTGTGAGTCTCTGAGGAATAAAAGGAAATTTCTGTTAAAGAATATTCTTTTTCATCATAATGGCTTTAGAATAACTATTTGACTTTGGAAACTGCACATATCTTACTTTTACATATAAAAGCAAATGAGGTCACCATGGTCTCATTTGGTTTTACACAATATATTTATTTTAAAATTTCAAATAACATGACAAATGTGCTTTTCACATTTACTGACTGATGGGTATATGGACCAAAGTGAGCTTAAAAATACATTATTAGATCATCCAAACTCTAAAACCGGCATTTATACATCAAAACTTGGTAATAACAGCACTTCTGCCCCCTTCACACTTAAAACTACGATATTCACAAAGAACAAAACTTTGCAGCGTAAAGAGCAAATGTAATAACCCTCAGGCAGTGTTTCCATGCAGACAGGGAGCAGCAGACTGAGCAGTGTTCCCAAGCCCCACCCCTCCCCTGCTCCTACTTTAATGTTAGGTTTTCATTTACTGCCTTCTTGGCTCCAATGCTTATCATTGTCCATTCCCTCAATATAATACCAGACCCAGCCAGCCTGCCTAGAACTCAGATAACAATCTCACCCCTTTCTGCAAAGAATAGATGCTCGTTGGTAACATGAATACATCTCATGACTATGTTGTCAGTGATTAATAAATTGATAACTGATGACATTTTATCAAATGTCCACATGGAGAAGTTAAAACAGGAAGTTAAAACCTTCCTAATGTTGCAACCCCTTAATATACTTCCTCCTGTTGTAGTGACTCCCCAAACCATTAAAACTATTTTGTTGCTGCTTCTTAACTGTAATTTTGCTACTGTTGGGAATAGTAATGTAAGTATCTGATATGCAGGATATCTAATATGTGATCACTGTGGGGGCCACGACCCACAAGTTGAGAACCATGGAGTTAAAACCAGGACTCCCTAAGCTTGGTTAAAACTGAGTACTAACCATTAGCAAGAACAAAGGGACATTTTTATTTTAGTAAAACACTTAAACGTAGCACAATTAATTTTGCTCACTTTTATTAATACAAAACATTCTAACAGAGTGTTAACTTTTAATATAAATAAGATTACAAATAAACTGTTACTATCCAATAAACCAATAATATTCACTTGACTCTTAATTGAATTATTCTCTATTAGAACAGTTATTTTCTCCAGTTTATTTTAAATTGCCTCATGACTTCAATGAAATGCCTGAGCTCTTGCTTTTTGAATAATTTTTTTCAGTTGGAAAATTTCTCATGCCAAAACACTTCCTTGCAAATTAATGCATATTTCTAAGCCTTGTACTTTTGCCTTAATGACATCAACTTTATGAACATCCCAGTTTCTTCATATATACAACATGAGTCATGAGTTGATTTCAAATGACAGGAGACCATCAATGCACTTGTAAAACAGATAAAGCTTCAACTGTACTTTTAAAGATTCCATCTTCTCCAAGACGTGGGAATGTCAGACTTCTTCAGTTTTTCTTCAGACCCCTTGGCCCCCAGTTAGAGAAAGAGATGCAGGCTAGCAGTCCTCTTTAAATAGCACTTACTCTAGAAAGACTGGCAGAAACATCTCATGTCTTATGAAAATCCCCCAAATAAACTGAACATTATATATATATGTGAAAGACAATTTTCAGAACAGCAGCATTCTGGATGACTGACAAAAGAATAGTTTGAGAGAAAAAAAGAACTTATGTCCTGAGAAATTTTTATATATCCATAAATCACATAACCAGCCCATGCAAGCAATATTTTCATAAGTTAAAAGTCACCATGAATTACAAGCTTTTTTTAACAGAATTTCATATCAGACAAAGCATAAGTGGCACATTTCTACTATGAACCATTGAATTTTTTGTTATCTTAAGCACATCTTAATCTAAACTGAAACATTACTCAGACCTTTGGATTTAAAATATAACCAAAGAAAATAATTACACAGTCTAAAAACACAAGCATTACTTTAGTATAAAAACAAGTAATTTCAATGTAATGAAGTCAACTGTGATTAACACATACATTTTCATGCATGTGAAAAATAATTTACATTCACTTCAGGAATAACTTCCATAGCAAACAAATTACAGCATTTATTCATTAAAGGAATATTAAAATAATTCTAGTTAGAAAATAAAGTAACTTCAATCAGATATATTATAATCTTTTTATCATGTACATAATCCAAATCCCCCCAAATTTAAGTAGGAAATGTATAGAACATCTTTTTAAGGGATATCTTAGAAAAACTAGTCAAAACATTACCTTCATTAAAGAGTATGTGTATACATATCCACATTTGTTTGACCTGTATGCAAAAATTTAATGAAATATGGGAGAAATTAGGATTTTAATTTTTTCTGGGCTATAATATTAGTACTAAGTTAAAATACTTACCTGCTAAGTAAGAACAGCTTGAGGTATTTCCAAGGCAGAGCAACCATCTTAACACTACACACCACAATAATGAAAAGAGTCTCCTTTGAACATTTACACCTGGCTTACAGTTGACAGAGGATGCAGGTTTGCCAAGCAGCTGTCCCATCTCACCTATATTCTTTCATCTCTTCTGAAGTGTAAGCTTCCAGGGAGATGATCACATAAACATTTCAAGCAGCTTGGACTCCAGAATGCAAAATTTTAGCCAAATGAAAAAGGATTTAAAATGCTATCCAAGACCTACCTGACCTCTTTAGATATTAATTTCTATGCTGGACAAGCTAAGTATGTCCTCTGAAATCAAAGTTATTATCAAATAACTATAATAGAGAAACTGAACACATGAACCACCTCAACAAGGAGGGACTTTAAGCCTTTACACACGACACATGAAAATGATGAAGTGTTTTATTTATATTTAGTCTTTCTTCAATCTGAACTGTAACCAAATTTCAAAGGGTTAGCAAGCCATTACACTCCTACATCTCATAATCCCTTTCTTCACACAGTAGGCACACATGTACAACATCATGTCAATATAATGTCATCAACACAGCATAAACGTTTAAGCAGTAGACTCATTTCACATGAAAGAGGCTCTATGCATCACATGACCTGTCCCAATAAAAAGCAGACATTAGAATGCCATTTTAGCAGTTACAATATTGATATAATCAATATACCTAATTTTTATACCCGTCATATATTTTCATAAGTCATCCATATGTAAGAAGCAAAGGACAAAGGCGGTTTTTTTTGTTTTAAGTTATGTGCCAACTTCAAAATGACATACTAACCAGACATCAGCATTCAAAAGCTAGGTTGAACAGGACTGGCCTCGATGCACATGCAGTAGATTTGTTTTCAGAATATAAAATTAAATGGTGATGTCAGCAGTATTACCACTGTTTCTATATTTGTGATTAATTACTAGCAGTACAACTCCCAGAAGGAAGGAGATGGATC